CAGTGGCAGGGTTCGCACGGCGGCCTCGGGCCACTTCGGCACACCACTCACGTGGGTCGTGGCCACATAGAGAGCTCCACCGAAGGCCCCAGTGGCAGGGTTCGCATGGCGGCCTCGGGCCATTTCGGCGCACCCGCCACGAGGATCGATGCCCCATAAGGAGCCCCACCGAAGGCCTCCGTGGCAGGGTTCGCATGGCGGCCTCGGGCCATTTCGGCGCACCCCTTCACAGGACCGTGGCCCCATAGGGAGCTCCACCGAAGGCCCCAGTGGCAGGGTTGACATACGGGGATCGTGGCCCTGTGGGAAGCTCCACCGAAGGCGCCAGTGGCAGGGTTCGCATGGCGGCCTCGGGCCATTTCGGCACACCCCTCACTAGGACCGTGGCCCCATAGGGGGGTCCACCGAAGGCCCCAGTGGCAGGGTTCGCATGGCGGCCTCGTGCCATTTCGGCGCACCCCTCACGAGGACCGTGGCCCCATAGGGAGCTCCACCGAAGGCCCCAGTGGCAGGGTTCGCATGGCGGCCTCGGGCCATTTCGGCACACCGCTCACGAGGACCGTGGACCCATAGGGAGCTCCACCGAAGGCCCCAGTGGCAGGTTTGGCATGGCGGCCTCGGGCCATTTCGGCACACCCCTCACGAGGATCGTGGCCCCATAGGTAGCTCCACCGAAGGCCCCAGTCGCAGGGTTAGCATGGCGGCCTCGGGCCATTTCGGCACACCCCTCACACGGTTCATAGCATCATAGGGAGCTCCACCGAAAGCGGCACCCACCACGCGGTGCCCACCACGCGGCCCTTCGTCCATGGACGACGGCGAGGGCCGAACCCAATCCTCAACAATATGAAGGGTCACGGTGAAAGTGACCTTCTTCCAGATCCTGCCCTCGGTGTCACGAGTGGAAATGCCAGCGCGTACATCGTGAGAAGGGCATCCTTCAACCACGCGTGGTTGAAGGATGCCTTTCTCGCGATGCACCAGGCCACCTTGAGGGCCGTCTTGAACCATCAGGGGCCATCTTGGGAACCGCTCGGGGCCAATCCTGCTGGTTTCGTGGCCCTCCCCCCGTCGCTCCCCCATGGGCCCCAATCGGGGCCTGTCGCCCGTGACGCCCCAGAGTGTTTGGCGTCGGGCGCGGCCCCGTCGAGCGCCCATCGGGGGGAGCGACGCCGAGGCCCCAGGGGGGGGGCCTGCTCGGAGCCCGAGCCTTCTCCGCGCCCCACCCCCCCCACCCCGATGCCGCTTTGGCACTGGATCGAACGGCGCCCTTTACTGCGCGAGGGCGCGAGCGGCATCCTGCGACGCGCGATCCGCGCGATGATGGACGCCACGTACGCTGCCGACACATACAACTACAACGGCACGTGGGCCGATGCAACGTTGGCGACCTTCCTGTTCGAAGCTGAGTGCTACCCAGCCGCCCTCGATGCATGCATGAGGCTGCGTCTCGACCCGCGCACCGTCTGGGGCGACTTCGGCCACTTCGCTGTCATGGCGTCAGAGTGCGGGTTCGAGCCGTCCGAGCAGGCCCGCGCCCACTACTGCTGGATCTTCGCCGACATCGATGCGAGCATGAAGCAGCTGCCAGCGGCCGCCAACAAGCCCGACGGCGTCTCCGACGACAAGCCCGACTACAACAAGTACGACGGCATCCTCGACGGCAACTCCGACAGCAAGCCCGACGGCATCTCCGACGGCCAGCCCCGCGCACCAGCAGGACCTTCGGCCGCGCCCTCGTCCTCAGCACGGTTGTTCAGCGTACCAGCAAGACCTTCGGCCGCGCCCTCGCCCCCCGCATCGCACACAGGGCAGTACCGACAGGGCAGCGGCTGGTTTCGCGAGAGGGCGGGCAACCCAAAGGGGCCTCGCTGGGGCGGTAGGGGCGGGACGACGTCTGCCAACGCGCAGTGGCATTCGGGTCTGTACAAGGCTCGGCGAGAGGGCTGGGAAGCCGAGTACAGGAGGCTTTACAAGAAGCCGCCCAGTGCGGCTCAGAAGTAGGCGTTACTTTTACTTCAATTAGACTTCGGTGCTGCTCCGGCACTGGCTGCATCAAATACAAAAAATAGCCTGACAAATGACCCGACCATATGCAGTTGTGAATACCGCAATTGTGATGCCATCTTCGCCCGTGCTCCCTATGGGGCCACGAAACGTGTGAGGGGTGTGCCAAAATGGGGCGCGTACCGCATGCGGGCTGCGCCACTGGGGCCTACGGTGGAGCCTCCTATGGGGCCACGAAACGTGTAAGGGGTGTGCCAAAATTGGGCGCGTACCGCATGCGGGCTGCGCCACTGGAGCCTACGTTGGAGCTCCGTATGGGGCCACGAAACGCGTGAGGGGTGTGCCAAAATCGGGCGCGTACCGCATGCGGGCGGCGCCACTGGGACCATAGGTGGAGTTCCCGATGAGGCCACGAAACGTGTGAGGGGTGCGCCAAAATTGGGCGCGTACCGCATGCGGGCTGCGCCACTGGGACCATAGGTGGAGCTCCCTATGGGGATCCCGCCCAGACACCCCTCGGGAGTCATGATGCTCTCTTTTGACCCTACTAGGAACCTATCAGTCTTCGCCGTTAGGTAAAAACCTAAGGAGACTCCATCACTAGTGACTAGCTGTGCCTTATCACCGTTTCGCGTCCGATGGGCCTCTGAGGCCTCAAACTGAACCACGGAGCCTCAAGAGGACACCAAGAGCCCCTCAAGACGGCCAAAGAGGCTACGAAGACGGCCACAGAGCGCCCCAAGACGACTCAGAGGCCCCCACGACAGCCCCCGAAGGCGTCAGACGGGCCAAGAGCGCCCTAAGACAGCCCTGAGGCCCTGAGAGGCCCTGAGAGGCCCAAAGAGGCAGCCCCAAGAGGCCCCCCACGAGGCCCCAAGAGGCCCCCGAGAGGCCCCCTGAGTCATGGTCGCGAGCTTTGCGGGCGATGTTCCCGAAGGGCCCGGCGTGGCTCCCGCTCTGCGGGCGGCGGGCCCCCCGCGGGCCTTTTGCCTCTGTAGGGTGGTTGCTCGCATTGCTGGTTCGCTGGTCAGCTAGCGAATCTCGAGGGGCGGAGGGCTCGCGTACTCCCACCAGCCCTGAACGGCGCTCAAGACGGCCCCAGAAGGCATCAAAACGGCCCCGAGACGGCACAGGAAGGCTTCGAGGTCAAGACGGCCCAAGATGCCCCAAGACGCCCAACATGGCATCAAGACGGCACAGGACGGCACAGGACGACCCAGGATGAGTAGATGGCCTCAAGACGGCCCAAGAGGTCCCAATCAGAAGGCCCCCATAGAAGCCGAAATTCTTCAAACTCACAGGAAGACTCAATGAGTGTTGCATTCTCGCCATTTCTCGTCCGATTGGCCTCTGAGGCCTCAAGACTTCCCCAGCATTGCCCAAGAGAGCCCCAGGAGGACCCCAGACGGCCCGAAGAGGGCCCTAAGACGGCCCAAGAGGCCCCCAAGATGGCCCCCAATCGCCCAAGGACGGCCAGAGAGGCCCCCAAGACAGCCTCCGACGGCGTCAGACGGACAAAGAGCGCCCTAGGAAAGCCGAAAAAGTTCCCAGGAGGCCCCCAAGAGGCCCCCAAAAGAGCCCCAAGAGGCCCCCAAGAGACCCCCAAAAAGAGCCCCAAGAGAGGCCCCAAGAGGGCTCCCAGAGGCCCGAACATGCGCCAACATACCTCCTCCTCCTCCTCCTCCTCCTCCTCCTCCTCCTCCTCCTCCTCCTCCTCCTCCTCCTCCTCCTCCTCCTCCTCCTCCTCCTCTTCCTCCTCCTCCTCCTCCTCCTCCTCCTCCTCCTCCTCCTCCTGACTACCCACCTAGCCACCCTAACTCAACCCGTTGGGCCTGCCAATTTCCAGTGGGGGGGGGGACGTTCTGGAACATCGAGAAAACACGGTGGCACCCGTTCACCCCCCAACCCGTAATTTGAGAGGTCTGGGACCTTCGGGTTGGGTTTGGAGGGTTTGGCACGTAGTGGCCTCATCCTCCTCCTCCGCCTCCTCCTCCTCCGCCTCCTCCGTCTCGTCGCAAGATTATGCAGGCCAGCTTCCTGAAGGCGGGCCCGCCGGGGCTCCCGCTCTGCGGGACCCGTTCGGCGGGCCCCGTGTCGTGTTCGAATGGCGGCGAGCGAAGGGGGCAAGTGAGAAAGGAAAGGCCTTCTCAGAAAGCGGCGGGACTTCTCAGTGAGAAGTTTCTGTCTCTTCGGGGAACTTCCGAGCCTTCGAAGAAGGACTTCTCCTTCTCACTTCCCCCCTGGGTTCGCCGCCGAAAGATAAAACGGAGGGGACCCACGTGTCCCCGCCAGCTTGGTTTTTGATGTCTCTCTCGCCTCCGAGATGCCCGAAAGACGGCCCAAGACAGCCTCAAGATGGCCTCAAGACGATCCCAGATGGCAACAAGACGGCACACGGCTGCCAAAGATGGCCCCAAGACTGCCCAAGATGGCCCCAAGACGGCCGTAGAGGCCCCCAAGAGAGCTCTGTGAGGATGCCCAAGGGAGCAACCGGGGGCCGAAATCATTGAAACCCTGTAGGTTTGCAAATGATGTTGCAAGTGTCAGCTCTTCGGCCTCTAGGGCGTCCAAGCAGCCCAAGAAGCCCCCAAGAGGCCCCCAAGGCCCCAAAGACGGCCTGAGTGGAGCCCAAAAGTGGCTCCAGAAGACCTCCAGAAACCCCAAGAGGGTCCAAGAGGGCTCGAAAGGGCTCCCAAGAGGCCAAGACGGCTCCCAAGAAACCGCACAGACCCCTGTAATACCATATTGGCTGGCAATTTTCCCGCGAGGGGGCCTGCCATGGTTCCTGCTCTGCAGGCTCAATTCTGGCCAAAGCGAACCCCCCGACAGGTCCGGACGCCGATGTGTTCCGGAGAGCCTGGGCATCTGGCGGCTCTCTGGCCTTTGTTGGGCCTCATGGGGCCTCGGTCGTGACCACATCCGTCTCGGAACCCCGACCGGAAAGCGCCCCGGGACAGGTCTGGGCAACGACTTCGGAGCGGCGCCAGGGATACCGGTAATGCGCGTCGACGTTGTAGTGGCCGTTGTGCTGCTGCCAGTCATGGTCACTGTAGACATCGTGTCCGTGATAGTGCCAGTACTGTAAGTCAGTGTCGACGAGCTGCTGTCTGTACCACTCGTGCCCGTTATAGTCGTCGTTGTCGTCAAAGACGTGGCCGAACTGGTGCCAGTGCTACGCGTCGATGTCGAAGAGCTGCTGTCTGTACGACTCGTCCGTGTGCTGGAGGTCAGCGTCGAAGAGCTGCTTTCCGTACCACTCGTGTCTGTGGTAGTCGTCCTTGTCGTCACAGACGTGGCCGAACTGGTGCCAGTGCTACGCGTCGATGTCGAAGAGCTGCTGTCTGTACCACTCGTCCGTGTGTCTGTGGTAGTCGTCCTTGTTGTCACAGACGTGGCCGAACTGGTGCCAGTGCTACGCGTCGATGTCGAAGAGCTGCTGTCTGTACCACTCGTCCGTGTGCTGGAGGTCAGCGTCGAAGAGCTGCTTTCCGTACCACTCGTGTCTGTGGTAGTCGTCCTTGTCGTCACAGACGTGGCCGAACTGGTGCCAGTGCTACGCGTCGATGTCGAAGAGCTGCTGTCTGTACCACTCGTCCGTGTGCTGGAGGTCAGCGTCGAAGAGCTGCTTTCCGTACCACTCGTGTCTGTGGTAGTCGTCCTTGTCGTCACAGACGTGGCCGAACTGGTGCCAGTGCTACGCGTCGATGTCGAAGAGCTGCTGTCTGTACCACTCGTCCGTGTGCTGGAGGTCAGCGTCGAAGAGCTGCTTTCCGTACCACTCGTGTCTGTGGTAGTCGTCCTTGTCGTCACAGACGTGGCCGAACTGGTGCCAGTGCTACGCGTCGATGTCGAAGAGCTGCTGTCTGTACCACTCGTGTCCGTGATAGTCGTCGTTGTTGTCAAAGACGTGGCCGAACTGGTGCCTGTGCTGCGCGTCGATGTCGAAGAGCTGGTTTCAGAAACACTTGTCTGCGATGACGACGACGAGCTGCTATCTGTACCACTCGTGCCCGTGCTAGTCGTCGTCGCAAGAGACGTGGTCGACTGGGTGCCAGTGCTAAGAGTCAGTGTCGAAGAGCTAGTATCGGTGCCCGTCTCCGTAGTCTGTGTCGATGTCAGTGTCGTGCCAGTTTCTGTGCCGCTCGTCTGCGTTGCTGATACCGTGGAGATGGAAGTAGTGCTGCTGGTCAACGTCGAGGTGCTCTCGGTGGCTGTCGAAGAGGAGGTTATGGTGCGCGTCGTCAGAGATAGAGTGGACGAAGTCTCGCTCCTCGGGCGTCCCATGCGTCAAGCAGAAGTCTCCTGCCTTGACGACGCTGCGTCTCTGGTTTCTGACGCCGCCTGCCCGGTCGACACTGAACAATTCGTTTCTTTTTTCTGCGTATTCCAGGAAGGTCGCGACACAATCTTTCGAACGGACTTCGAGCTGTGGGCTGCTTGCTGTAGGCTCCTGGGACCCAGACTGGCCCCGGGGGGGCTCCACCTTGAACGTCCGCGACAGCACTGCCTCCACGTCGAGGCGGCTCGACCCTCCCAGGCAAACTTGCGACACTGTCCGACCAAAGACTGCCCAGTGCTGCCATCCAGTGAAATCCGATGCCCATCAGTTTACGTCGCGGAGCCCATGTCGCGCGCTGCCGCTCCGTCCCCCTGGAGCCTCCGGGTGAAACTCCCAGCGAATCGCACGGATCCTCCCACGTGCTTCCTCCTCTTACCGCTCTTCCTCTTCTTCCTCCTCCTGCTCCTCCTCGTCATCCTCCTCCTCATCATGATCATCCTCATCCTCATCCTCATCATCATCATCAACAACATCATCATCATCGTCATCATCAACATCATCATCACCATCACCATCACCATCAACATCAGCAGCATCATCAGCAGCATCATCACCATCACCATCACCATCACCATCACCATCATCATCAGCACCATCAGCATCAGCATCAGCATCATTACCATCATCATCAGCACCATCAGCATCAGCAGCAGCAGCATCAGCATCATCATCATCATCATCATCATCATCATCATCATCAGCATCATCATCTCATCGTCATCCGCCTCCTCCTCCTCCTGCTTCTTCTCCTCCTCCTCCTCCTCTCTTCCATCTCTGGGGACATTCAGAGACCTCCGGAAGCCTGCGGGGACCTCCAGGACCTACAGAAACCTCCGCAAGTCTTGGGGGCCTCCACGGACCTCCTCCTCCTCCTCCTCCTATCCTCCTCCTCCTCCTCCTCCTCCTGCTCCTCCTCCTCCTCCTCTTCCTCCTCCTTCTCCTCCCGCTCCTCCTCCTCCTCCTGCTCCTCCTCCTCCTCCATTCCTTCTCCTTCTGGATAACTCCTCCGTGTCGCACCCCGAAGCCAGTCGGAAGGGCGGGCCAGGCGTTTCGCCTGAACCTTCCTCACCTTTCATAACTCTGTAGCCTAGAACTTGCAGCAGCTTCACGCATGGAGGAAGGGTCGTTTTCTAAATGTGCCTCTGTTCTCGGCGCCGCGTACATACGTCTTCAAAAACTTGCAACAGCTTCACGGATGGACGGCGGGTGGTTTTCAAAATGTGGTTATCGCCTTAGCGCCGCACTCAGTCGTCATAAAACACTGCAAGAGCTTCACGGATTGAGGGCGGTTCTTTTTCAACATGTGGTTACCGCCTTAGCGCCGCGCACATTCGCTCTACAAAGTTGCAAGTGTTTCATGGACCGAGGGCGGCTCGTTTTCAAAACGTGGCTCTCGCCTTAGCGCCGCACCCATTCGGCTCAAGAGTTTACAACAGTTTCAAGGACTCTCACGATCAACGTCGGACTGTCAGGGCACAACAATGACGTTCATTCGAGGACATGGTGATCTGGCACGATTCTGGGTTGCCAAGACGCGACAGTACCGGTGATTTGTGGGGTTGGCATCCAGGAACAGCGCTTTGGCACAATTCAGGATTTTCAAACGGTTGCTCTCTAACAGGGCATTTCTTTCAGCGAAATTGAACCCTTGTAGGGGCATATGAGGAGGAAGCTCGGATGGAGGGTTTATTGCCACGTTGATGCACCTTGGGTTTACACTGGTCCTCTTCCTCCTCCTCCTCCTCCTCCTCCTCCTCGAACTTTCCTCACAACAACTCCCGCCCAGGCCTTCGCCAAGTCGAGCCTTCTCGCGCCGAGATGGGCAGAGAGCATCTATACACCACCACCGTGCCAGGCCAGGGCCATCCTGGGCCCTGGGATGGTGTATACGCCCTCCTGGCCGAGCCAGGAGGGTCTATACACCATCCTGGGGCCCAGGATGGCCCTGGCCTGGCACGGTGGTGGTGTATAGATGCCTTCTCGCGACGAGAAGCACGCTGAGCGACGAACCTAGACCTCCAGCAGAGTGGCTTAGCCACTTCGCGAGCAGCACAACTCTTGACCCACTCCCCACGCCCACTTTTCCGCTACGAGTCGCGCCTTCACGGTCCCACAGCCAGAGGCAGTTCCCAGAGGCCGAAGAACAGGAGAAACGCCTGGAAGTCAAGGAGCACGATGTCGGAGATCAGGGCATCGAGGCGAGCAACACGCCCAGTGGCCCAGAGATCCGACGCTGCGGTTTTTCAGTGAGCGGTCCCTGGAGCTCTGGACGGGCTCCTGGCTTCTTCGAGCCCGACAACGGGCCCCAGAAGCGAAGAGTTGCCAAACAGGGCTCGAGCTAAACAATGTTTCTCGTTGTCATTGTTTGTCTTCCTTCGTTCTGTCTCCGTTCCGCCTTTGCTGCGAAACGAAATCTAAACGACGACGGTCCACGAGATCGCCAAAACACCGTTGAGCTCGAGCCATGAGATTGATTTGGGCATGACGTCGACGGTCTGAAAAGACAAGGCCCTGCATGCGGGGCGCGCCGCTGCTGACCCAAGCGCGCCTCTGCTGACCGCAGCGTCGCGGAATCACGCCGCGGTCGGAGACAGCCGAGGGGCACTACGGGGCATACGGCCCGACATTGGACAAAAGAACATCATTCAAGAACGTGAGACCCTCCGCTGGCCAAAACACCCCAAACCATAAGATCACTCGAGGGTACCCTCCCCCAGGATGTACAAGAACATCCAACAAGCACGAAGAACATTCGGGTACCCTCCCCGAACAGACCTCGATCTTATACCTCGGTCCGACTGTACGGGGTCGGCGGGGCACTGCGCGCAGAAGCGCCCACCAAATGTTCGCTGGGGTCCCCCCCCCCCTTGCTTGGGTGATCGCAGGGGGCAGGGTGCGGCCAGGAGGAAGGAGCGCTGAAACATCGCGAAGGGCAGCCGCGGAGCCAACGAAACATCGGCTTTCTGCCTGGGCTGGCTCCCCGGCCCGCCCCGAGAACCCGAGCCCCATGTTGCCAAGTCCGCCGGGCCTTCCCTCTGTACCCTCGCGTCTTCGCGCGCGGATGTTTAGAGCCCACGAGGCGGCGAAAACCGACCCGAGGGGTCCTGAGAAGCTCCCCACAGTCCGACACGGCGCCAAATCATGAAGGTCGCCACGGGACGCCCAAGGTGGCTCCCAAAGAACCTGAAGGCCGCCCAAAGGGCCCATAAAGCCCAGAAAACATATCCAGAGGCCGCCCGAAAGCGCACAAATCTCCAACGTCACCATGTGTTTCTCGAACCGTCGGCCTCCCCGCATTACGCTCCTTCCCGACGCAGATAGACAGCCCAACAAAGCCACAAGTGCGCCCCAAAGCAGCCCAGGAAGCTTTTTTGGAGGGGGAGTGGAAAAACCCGAAGGGAAAGTGCACAGCACCAAAACGGTCACGCTTGAGACAGCCACTCTGGCTCAAAATTGTGGCCGCCACCACAGCGACCCTAAGAATCCAAACTACCTCAACTACTTGCCTGCAGAGGCTTCCTTCAAACGAATCCTCAAAATTGTGGCCGCCACCACAGCGACCCTAAGAATCCAAACTACCTCAACTACTTGCCTGCAGAGGCTACTTCAAACGAATCCTCCCGACCAGAGCAGCGGAGGAGGAGAAGGAGGCAGGGGAGACGAGGGAGGGGAGGAGGAAGGGAAAGTGCAGTGGCGACGGGCTCGGGCAGGGGAGTGAACGCCACATGGACCGACCTGCAACAGGCAAGACATTGCAGCGAACAGCGGACAGGCGGAGCAAGCACGCGAGGAAGCGGCATTGCAAGGGCCACAGATAAGAAACCGCCCCAGGTCCTCATCGTGACTAGGGCTCGACGTGAGCGAGGATGGCACAATCAAGTGGGAAAGAGGGGGAGGAGGACGCGGAGGAAGAGGAGGAAGGGGAGGGAGGAATCCCAATCGCAACCCATATGGTTGCCTGACGAACGCCAGGATCTGACCGGAGACATGGCGACTAGCGGACTGAGCGAAAACAACAAACATACTGCCACGGGCTAGACAAGGAGGAGGAGGAGGGAACAGCACGCGGGCACCGGCGGGTCAGAGTACGACGAGCTCTGGCTGCCGCACGCGGGGTCGGCAGACTGCGCGCGCACGCCCTGCTCCACGGACGACGCGCGTCACGAAAGTGGTGCCTTGTGCCGGGCACCGCCGTGCAACGGCTCGCCGCTGGCGCCCAGACAGGACAGGGCAGCCTGCTTGGTCTCTAAGACTGGCGTACGCAAGCGGAGGATGAAGACAAATAGAAACCGCGGAGGCTGCATTTGAGAGGCAATTCGCTCCTCACCTGCAGCCAGCATTGCACCACACACGGATGCACAATGTATCGCCCTGACGGCAGGGTAGACATGGAGAGAGCAGACTAATTACGTACAATGCGCGCACACATGCGGTTTGGATTCACTATCGATGTCAGCCCTGAAACCGACAAGCTGCCACGTGCGGCGAGAATCACAACAGACAGACATCACAGACAAGAGCGACGGAGGGAGAGAGGAGGAAGGAGGAGGGGGGAACGGCGTCACGCTTGCGCTCCACGCCACGCGTACGCGAGCCGTGGGAAGCCGAAACACGCGTCGCGGATAAACTGCCACATTGCGCCGGTCAGCGCCTTACATGCGCAACCCCCGGTACCGGGAGTATAAAGGGGTTAAGTGGCCAGCACGCGGCGCAGGACGATGTCTCTTGACGCGCTGGAGAATGAAGGCTGAATCCTAAGAAAATAATCACCCTGGGAGCGGGCAGCCTGAACTCAGCAGCGCAAAACTGCCGGAAGGCAGGACAGCAAAAATAATGGCGCATGCTATCGCGCGCTGCGCAGCCAAAAATGCAGGGGGCATCGCCGCCCACGCAGTCTGCAGTGGTCCAACCGTCAGGGAGCGAGCGGAGGG